TTATGCTGAGTGAAGTATCTCAGTCACAAAGGGACAAATACTGCATGGTGCCACTGCTGTAAAGCAGGACTGACCCTGGGGTTGGGGGGAGACTGAGAAAGATGGGTTCAACAATGTACACTGCACTGAAACATATGAGGGAGAAAATTGTTTAAGAGGGAAAATTATTGGGTATTTTTGTCATGACAGGAGTCCAGAGTAAAGGCTGTATAGTCGAATGGACCTGGGGGTAGGGACTGTAAAACAATGAAAGAATTTTTCTTTTACTTTTCCAAGAGAGTAGTGTATTAGGGGGGAGGGTTGGGAGAGGAGAAAAGTGCAACAATGAATGAATGGAAATCCAAAGTCTCTGTAAATGTTCATTGAAATTAATAATAAATTAAAAAAAAGAAGACTGTTTATAATTTAACCCCAAGATATCATCAAGCAAGGGGATGAATAATCTTAAAGTGAGACGGAGTACTAGAATCACTTAAATCATCATGTAGAGTACAACAGGAAAATGAATGTAAGATGGATTCTGAGTATGAAATAGATTTCCCTACAATTTCACCAAATATGAATGCTTCCAAAGAATGGTTTGAAAAAGAAATAGATGATTTACCCTAGGTCATCTGTAGTTTTGTGGGGCTTTTTAAAAAAATGAATTTACTTTTAGTATTTAAAACAGGATTGTTTCTATCAAGCAAAAAGAGTATATGATGTATTCCAAACCACTGTGTTCTAATTAAACTGTTTAAGATGTAAAAAGAAAATATAAAGACATTCAAAACAGAAATGAATCACAGGACACTATCAAATGCTTTATGTTTTGCTACAGTGAAGTTATGTTAAGAAGGATGCTGATCCTTTCTTATGAAGTACATGAGAAACTTGACACTATTAAAACTAGCTGGTTATCTACATGTTAAAACTAAAGAACTCTTTATATTTGTAATTAAGTAAGTTAACAGAGAGTCTAGTTTTCATCATCTGTGTGCAGATAATTCTGATATGAATATGAATAATTTCTGGTTTGTTTATAAACACATTTAACAACTACAACGTAATTTAACTGATTAATATCTGAGATTTTATGGTTTATGCAGGTATGTTACTTTTATATTTGGACAAGCTGGTAACAAGATACTAAATAAATTAGTATAATTATAAAAGATATTTCCTGAGCCCAAGAGCTGTAATAATATTTAAAGAGCTGTATTATGTATGTAATTATAATTCAAGTTTAAGGGTTTCATGTAAGATATAAAATCAGGAAAAAATACTTAAAAAAACCATTAATTAGTAATTCATCTATACATACTCTTATAGCCAATAGTACTTAATTAATATTCACATGCTAATATTTAATCCAGTAAAAAGAAAATAAAAGTGTAAACTTCTTCCAACACATCAGTTACCTTAAGTGGATAATACAAGTATTATAAGTTACTTGGATATACAAGAAACACAGCCTTAAAATAAAGAGGAATGATGGCTCTAGTTAACAAGATTTTCTGAATGCACCTGTTAAAACTTTCTTCATTGACCAAGAAATTTCAATTTCTTTATGAAATGTATTTAATTTCATTTCCCAAATAAGTTTCTCAATATATAAAGCTACATATTTCTACTGATATAGACATTTCACTCCCATGACAGCTGCAATTCTCACTGTAGAAATGAAGAAACTGATTAACTGATTTACAAATTAGCCATCTAACAAAACCCAGCTTCAAACAATCAGAACACAAGCCAGAGCTAAGAAAAGTGGAGGCTCAAAATAGTTACGATTTCAACCTAAACAAATTGACCATTTAAAACATATGCTACTTATATTTTGTATATATATATACACACACACACACACACATACACATATATATGTACATAAATATACCCACCTGAGGCCCACCATATATGAACAGCACAGTGGGATATTTCTTTCCAGGTTGCAGGTCATGAGGCTTGTACAGCATTCCATACAGTGTAAATCCAGTAGTACTTTCAAAAGAGAAGATTTCTGGAGGGGTGTAGTCAGGAAGAGGACCTGAGAGTAAGTAACACACAGAATCTGTAAAAGGAATCCTTATGGGAGCTTCACAGTCTGAGAACAAAGAGAAAATACTCAACTCCATATCAACACACAAATAACTGACCATGCCCCTTCTAGTGGACAGCAAGACCAGTGATCTTAAAAAAAAAAAATCAAATAAGCTTATCAAGCTACCTATTTGAGAAGCAGAGAAATAATATTCCAAAACATCCTTAATTAAACCTAGAAGGTATTTGCACTCAAAACTGTACAAATACTGCTTGGCTTAGCCTAACTCACTGACAGTTAAGCCATATATATACATGATTAGAAAACCAAATTTAACTTTGCCAATTTCACTTGCTCAATGAATTAAAAAGACAGGAGAGAAAGAAAAGACAAAAAAAAAGAAAGACCAAAACATATGTCAGAAGAAACTCTAAAAATTGCACTAGAACATCAAGAACCAAAAAAAGACAAAGAGAATGCTGAAGTACAAAAGACGAATACAAGAGTTCAAAGGGCAGCTCAAGAAGACAAAACAAAATATTATAATAGAATGTGGAAAGAGCTGGAGGAGAAGAATATAAAGGGAAAATTTTGCTCTGCATTTCTAAAATTGAAAGAACTTAAAAAAAAATCTCAAAGTGTGAGTTGCAATACTGAAAGATGCTAAGGGTAAAATCTTGAATGATCCAGGAAGCATCAAAAAGAAACAGAGGGAATAGAAAAGAGTCACTGTACCAAAAAGAATTGGCTGACCCAGGATCATTTCAGGAAATTATATATGATCAAGAAAACAATGAAATTGTTTGAAAGAAGATGGTCAAGCTGCACTGAAGATATTGGCAAAAAGTAAGGCCCCAGGAACTGATGGTATACCAACTGACATGTTTCAATGATAGATATAGCCCTGGACATGCTCACCAGGCTATGCCAAGAAATCTGGTCAACTGACTTCAAGAGATCCATTATTTGTTCCATTCTCAAAAAAGTATCATTAATATCACATGTAAGCAAAATATTTCTGAAAATTATTCAAAATAGGTAGGTCACAGCATTGACAGAATTGCTTGAAATTCAAGCTGGATTTAGAAGAGGTCATGGCATAAAAGATATTGCTGATGACAGATGGCTGTTGGCTAAAAGGAAAGAATACTAAAAGAACATCTATTTCTGTTTTATTGACTAAGTAAAGGCATTTGATTGTGTGGATGACAATTATAGCTAACATTGAGAATAACGGAAATCACAGAATACTTAATTGTGGTAAAGAGAAACCTAGACCTAGACCAAAAAGTTGTCTAACAAAACAAGAATACACTGCATAGTTAAAAATAAAAAAAGGTGTGCTTCATGGCTTCCATACCTACTTAATCTATATGCTGAACAAACCATGACTTAACAACTTGTGTCATGCAGATGACACAACCTTGCTTGCTCAAAGTGAAGAGGATCTGATGTACTTGCTGCAGAAAATCAAGGACAATAGCTTTCAATATAGTTTACATCTCAACATCAAGAAAACAAAAATCCTCACCACTGGGCCACTAGGCAACATCATGACAGTTGGAGAAAGAATTTAAATGTCAATAATTAATGATTTCATCTCACCTGGATCTACAATCAACAGTACTGGTCCCAGAAATCAAAAGACATAGCACATTGGAAAAGTCTGCTGTTAAAGACCTCTCCAAAGTATTAAGGAGTAATAATGTCAGTTTAAAGATGAAGGTGCACCTGATCCAATCCATGATTTTTTCAACTGCTTTCTGTGATCATTCAGGGTGTTCCTAAGAAGCAAGGATGGTGAAATTTCGTTTTGTTCTTTGGGCATGCTGTTAGGAGAGGCTAGTTCTTGGAAAGAGACATCATGCTTGGAAAAGTGGAGGGTCAGCAAAGGAGAAAGACCTTCAATGACAGACTGACACAGTGTACAATGGGCTCAAGTGTATCAAAGATAATAAGGATGGCACAGGATAGGGCAGGGTACAGATGTGCCATTCACAGGTTGTAGTAGACTTAACGGAATCTAACAGTAAAAATACTGTGGGTGCTTAATAAATATCTGCTGAATTACAGTGATTATAAGAAAAAAAGCCTAATCAGAACAATAACAACAAAAGAAACTTAGAATCAGTCTTTGGTTCATCAAAGCTTTAGAGACCGCTCCTAAATGTCTATGCATGTTGTTGCTGTGCACCACTGAGTTGAAACTGACCAATTGCTGACCCTCCAGTGGATTTTCAGAGGCAGTAAATCGCCTGTAAGGAGACTGCTCATCTTTCTCCCATGGAACACCTGATGAATTCAAATGGCATGTCTTCAGGTTGGCAGTGCAAGCTCACTGCCACCAGGCCATAGTGGATGGTATTACACTCAAAGTAGAAATCACTATCCTATTACAAATTCTCCTGTATATATGAAAATAAACCCAACCCTTTGACAGACCCTTTGAGAAAACTACTAATACAAATTAATTATATAAAATAAAATGGGGTAAAACACATAAAATTATTTAAGAACTTTTAAGTATTTTAAAAACAGGTAATTCACAGCACTCCTCAGTCCAACATAAATTGAGCTTTGTTTATTACCTTTTGTAAACATGATCACTGTAATTTAAAAGACGAAAGGAGCTACTAGCTGGTTATTCCCTAAGCTGCAGTTTCTGTGATCTTAGTACTACTCAGTATATATTATCTTCAAGCTCATCTGCCTATGTGGAAAAATCATCCAAATGTGAATAACATCAAGCTCCGTAGCTGATACTTGGACTGTTTTATTTTTTTAAAAAAGGTCAAATGAAAGACTGTATAAAACACAGTGGACATGAATTAAACAATGTACATGACTGTATGTAAACCAATAAAAACATGGGGAAGGGAGAAAAAGGTCTTCTACTGCATAACATGGATCCATCTAGCGGACACTGTGCTCACTGAAATGTATTTAGTCACAAAAGGAAAAGTACTGTCTAAGCTCTGGTGGCCTAGTGTTAAGAAACTGCACTGTAATACCAAAGACATGCAGCTCAAACCCATTTGCTCCATGGAAGAAGGATGGGCTCCTCCCGTGTGATTCATTTTCTTCTAAAAATCTACTGGAGGGTCAGCTATGTGTCAGTTATGACTCTACAGTATACCACCACAACAGGATGACTAAAAGTTAAGGAACGGTGTGTTGCTGTTGATTGTTGTTGAGTAGAGCTCAATTCATAGTAACCCTATAAACAAAAGACCTGAACCCTGTTCTGTAACTACAGTCATTTCTCTACATTCATAGAGTTTCCAGAGGCATATTGTTTAGGAAGTAGATACCACTCCTGCTTCCAATCCTGTCTTAATCTGAGAGCTCCACCAAATACTGTTCACCATGGGTAACCATTATGAATTTGACATACCAGTGGCATAGGATTCAGCATCACAGCAACCTCAGGTTCGCTCAGTACAGCAAACTGAGAGACAAGTACTGTACCACTTAGAAGAATGTTCCTCCAAAATATAATAACTCTGTGGCCCTTGGGCCCAACTGACTTTTAAATACAAAGGTCCTCTACCAGGTCCTGTTGAGACTAAATAAGATGTTTAAATAAAAAACCAACCAGAGTCCACACTTGACCCTTAACCAAAACAAGAAAGCCCACTTTTCAGAATCTAATCACTTCAGCCATCAGCCTCCAAACTGGAGACTTAGGGCCGTCCTTAAAATACACAGGCCCTCTTTGAGGTCCTGTTGACTCTAAAAAAGAGGCTTAAATAAAGAACAATCAATCAAACAGTTCACATGTGATCCTCAACCAAAACAGGAGAGCCCACCAAAGATATGTTTACACACAGATAAAATAATTTTTAGATGATCAGGGATAGAAAGAAAGGGTGAAAGGAATAAAAATTAGTAAACATAACTAGGACATAGTAAGATGAGTGAAGGAAAAGGATGATCAGTATTATATCATTAAATTAAGAGAAGCACGGAGATACAGAAGGATTAAGGGCAATCGGGATTACAAAGAAGTGGGAGAAGTGCAATTACATTGTGGATTCTAAATGTTATAGAACAAAATGTGTACGGACGGTTGAATGGAACTGGAGAAAGGAGATTAATCAGGAACTCAGGAGCTCAAGAACAGCAGCAGAAAGACTGACTCAGTCTAGGAAAATAATATATAACACAGACATAATTCACTATTACACAAATTTAACTTAAGGTTAAGTACATAAATAAGTACCTGCTGAATCCAATATGGTGGCCCAGAATTCCTTTGCTTTGCAAGTTGTATCATCTCCCATACCAGATAGCTTGTAAAGGGATACACAGTGTGGATTCTTCTGGTTACTATATTTACTTATAAAGAAGTCACAATGCTAGAGAAAAGAGAAAAAATTATTGTTTTTTACCCCAGGAAAAGGGGGGTGGGAGGAGACTGATTACCTGCTATTACATCTGCACTAATGCCATGGCAGGAGTATGATAAGAGTTTGGCCACTTATGTACATACAAAAAGCAGAAGGCAAGACTAAGCTTTTTAAAGCTTTCCCCAAGAGAATCAGACTTCTACAGAATCAACTTCACCTATTTTCACGTCACTCAAATGGAGTATAACACAAGCAGAGCAATGTTTATGACAGGAAACCCTTTTCACATAACGATTTAATACCTGGCTGATGCAGCAAGAGTGAGAATAGCCACGTTCGGTTAGCCTGGTCACCTCTCCAGGGTTTACATAGCTAACCACATACAAGTGATGTTCTAAAGGAGAATCTTTGGTGCCTTCAAAGTATACCAGCTTTCTGACTTCATCAACTTGGATCTGCCAAAACATCACAATCACCATAAAAAAAAAAAAATCAATGCTGTGCCAATAACACAAAAGACAACATAATGGTCACAGAGTATCTAGAACTCTAACTTAATTTTATAACTTAAAAGCAAAAACTAGAGCCTGTCTAGAAATTTAAAAAAACTCCCCCAGAGTTGTATACTACTGAGTCAAGTGTCCTTTTCAGTCAGTGTGCTTTTCTTAAAAGAATTATCTCACTTAAAAAACAACTCTTTACCAGGGAAAAAATTTACCCTACAGTGCAGTTGAGGTCAACTATATGCATATTTGAAAGTCTTATTTTAGCATCCTATGTATTTCTTACTGCAGCATTACCTTAAATAGTACTTATTTTGGTCTCTGGCCAAATAAAAAGTGTTTTATCCATTAGGTTAAATAATATCTTAATTCAATCACAGTTTCAATATTGGTATAGTCTGTAAAGACAGATAAAAGCTTGGAAGTTTTCATTTAGAAAACATACATAGCTGAATTCAATTGCAATTCGTCCCAAATTACACTAAATTCTGCATAAGTAGTTCTCTTTAAAAATCTTTTACCAGCCAACTCTAACAATGTTTAATAAAAATTGCAAATCGGTGGCGCCTGACAACAATAACACCACCACAATCAAATGCTGTTGCTTAGAAAATAAAACACAGATAATCGCCTGTGACTTCATCCATAGCCACTGGTGAGAGTCAGCGCCCAGAGCCATCAGGGGCTTTAAGCTCGTTGCCCACTGCTGTGGTTTGGACAGCTGAAACCCAGGCCCCGACAGGCACCTGGGGGGAAAAAAAAACCCAGACTCTACTTCATGCTCTGCTGGAGAAGGAGGGGCAGTCTCCTGTACCAGTCAGATCCAATTTGATGGTACACA